ATCTCTAAGCTTTTGCCAAATTCCTCTCTCCAATATTGCGTAAAGAAGAAGAAGGCCACGATGGCTTATTTATACTACCTAGAAAATCCAATCCTTTCTAGAAAGGGACTTATAATAAAACTAAGAAACCAAATAAATTAAAATAAATTAAGAAACATAATACTAAATTGACTATGATAATTAGCCCAAAATCTGCACAGCCACATTGTGGACCCATATCTACTCCAAAACCGACAAAAAATAGCTAGATTTAAAGCTTGGACTATTATGAACACTTATCCAGAAGGCCATGAACCCATTAGAGGTCATCTTGGGCTAAAAAAAATCGCAATTAAGCCCAAAAAGTCACTTTATAGAACCGCACATTGCTTCTTTATTTCCTCACCAGAAAATAACCTTTTTGTGGAAAAATCTGATATTTTGATAGATTCAAGCTAAGCGACTCATGAATGTCCTCCAATTTGAATCACTTTAAAATTCGTCTGTTTGATCATGTTTTTCTTCAGAAGAAGTTGAATGTCCTATATTAAAAATATAAAGCAAAGTGTTAAAATTCTATCAAAATAATTACCAAATATACTAAAAATATTATAGTATATATAGTATAATATTGACTCATCAATCATAACTCTACAAGTTCATAGCTCAATGCTCAAAAAACAAAAAAGGTGGGGTCCAGGGAGAAACAGGGCATATCTGTAATATTGAGCAATATGAAGGGGAGGATTGTATCCATCTCCTTTATATACACCCCATCTATATTCCCACCACCCCACTCATAATACCCAACTTTTCTAACCACAGTTTTGTTTTCCAAGTTGTGATAAAACACAAGCATGGGGAATTGCTTGGTTATGCAAGAAAATGTTACAAAGATTATGAGACCTGATGGGAAGATCCTAGAGTACAGCGCAGACATGAAAGTTTACCAGGTGCTGTCGGAGTTTTCGGGGCATGCAATATCTGAGACGGCTCCAAACTACCAGCATCTCCGGCCAGACTCCAAGCTGCTTGGTGGTCACCTCTACTATCTCGTACCTCTCCCTTTGCCACCGCCCAAAAAGGCTTCCCAGAAGAAGGTGAGATTTTCGGAGCCTGAAGCCGAACGGCCTGAACCTGAACAAGAAACTAAAGTTGTAAGGATTAAGTTGGTTATAAGCAAGAAAGAATTGCAGGAGATGTTGACAAAGGGAGGAGTTGCAGTTCTTGATGAAATGGTTTCTCGGCTTCAAAGTGAAGAAAAAGGCATAGATAAGAGTAACAGTAACAGCTTCAACGTTGATGGTAACTGCGAAGGGTGGAAGCCTGCTCTCGAAAGCATACCTGAAGTAGTCTAGCAATAGTATAATCCTTAATATATGTAGCATTGTATCCTGATCCCTTCTACCAAAACGAAAAGGGAAAGAAGAAAAGAAAACAAGTATCTCTTCGCGCGCTTGATCGGTTTTCTGTAACATACATATAAAGTAAACAAAGATCCATGAAAAAGATTAGAAATACACAGCTTTTCTTTCCCTTCTCACATACAAGTTATTAATCCATTCTCTAATTGGTATGTTAATTCTAATAATAGAATCTGCAAGTCATTCAAAACCTTAGTCTCATGCATATCTCTCACGTACACAAGAAGTCACAACCAAGCCCCAAAAAAAAAGGAAAATGGAAAACAAAGCATGCAAGTGAAAAAACAGAAGGTTAATTAATTAGAGATGATTTAACCATGACCTAGCTAGAGATTTACTGCTTAAACTAAAGATTCGAATTTCCAGGAATTTTCATACAACTTTGTGGTAAAGAGGGGAAGAAATTGTCGCGTGACAACAAATATCAAAAGCGAGTAAGCAGCCATGTCAGGTCCAAATACCAACGAGCATGTAATATGATGAAAGCGTGATGTGGCAATTCATATATGACTCTATGAGTTGGCCCCTTAAGCTTCCAGCCTCACCTGCCAAATCACAAAAAAAGGTAGAAAAAAGAAATACAAAGCATATCTACTGGTTTGCCAAAAAAAAAAAAAAAAAAGCATATCTACTGTTCTCGGCATGCCAAAATAGTTATCATACACTCCTCCTGAATGAAAAAACGAGGAAGGATTACATTTTTTAAAGTGCTAATAACATTCAAATTATTACATATTGTGGTGGTGGTGGTGTTAGTCCTCCCATTAAGAAAGCCTCCGGAAACTTCCCATAATGGAATGATAGAATAAGTCCACTTGCTCCAGTAAAATTGCTTATGTGTGTGTGTCTTGTGGAAGAATAGCTTAAGTTACCTTTATTGTATTTCATATACCAATCGTGGTGGTTTTGGTAGCATTCCAGAGCTGATTTACTGCTGCTTAGGACTATTCTCTACCAATCGCCATCGTTTCACACTCTTAGGCATGTGAAAGAAAAAACGAAAGAAAACAAGAACTCCACAGGCTTAAATCCCCACCCAAATAAATGTTCCCTTGATACAGTAACCTAGCTTCCTGCACGGAAAAGAAGCACGCAAACTCTCTTGACTGGAAAAAAGAAGAGGAATTAGAACTTAGAAAAGATCCGGATGACAAAGAAAAACTAAGAAAGTCGATGAATTGAAAAGTTAATCCTTCCGGATTACTTTAGCATATAACACACCATTTGAGTCTCGTATCAAAAATCTTCTCAGCATTAGATTGTTTTATAATGGTGAAAAACTGATATAACTTGTAGAACACTGAAAATTAGTCTATACCTCGTTTATAAACCTTCGAGGGTTCAGCAATTTGCATAAGCTCGAGCCCTACGTAGAAACACCTAAACCTTCATATAAAGAAATCAAAACTATACAACAAGATACGAGACAGAAATTATAGCACCAGTTTTTAACTAAATGGATAACTGGAACTATTGTCATATGGAACACCAAGACATCCTCCCATATCTCACAACCGAAAATCTTATGTAGTGTGAACGAATTTGTACCCAAACAGACACACAGGGCGAGTCCTCGTTGCATCATTCTTACACTCAAAGTATGTAACATAACTCTAGGTAAAGGAAAGCCAAAACTACTTTTGCATTCAGTAATTCTCTGCTTAGAGGGTGAGTCTTGGCGCAACGGAAAGGTTCCACCTTTGTGACCGAAAAGGTCATGGGTTCGAGTCATGGAAACAGCTTCTTTGCTAAGCAAGGGTAAGACTACGTATAATAGACATTTATCTCCCGATACTCACAAAGCAAGGAGCCTTGTTAGCTTGGAGTTGCCCTTTTTTTCTAATAATTCTCTGCCTGTTGGGTTCAGTACAGTGTAAAACATTCAAATTACTAAGTATAAGGACACTCTATAAGAAGGACCAGCTGGACAGATAATATTGCAAATCATGCAGAAACTTATTAGCCAAGTTGTCCACTGAAGCGGTCTCTATCTACCCTTTATTTCCATATCAGCTTCTGAAAGAACAACCATAGGTCCCTCCTTGTTCATGGGAAACTAGATAAGGAAATAAAAGGTCCTACAAAAAAAGCACAAGTACTTTAGATTTCTTTATAGCACGTACTTGTGCTATTGGCATTTCAATTTCGGATTATAGTTACTGTTTCGTCTCACTAGGACATGTATTTTTCTTTAAAGAACAATCAGGAATAAAGGCCGCAGACTGACTTGGGCACCATTACTTATTTTTGCTTCCATCATAAAGCACTAGGCACACTGGGAGTAGCTTAGTTCAATATGTTGGTAGAAACGTGTCATGCAAGCAATACACAATGACATGCATTTCACATTTTAGTTAATATACTCACTTTTTATGCATAACTGAGTTTCTCAATTAGAGTGATGCCCTCCATCCACCTTGGCCATGGGAAATTGAAGGGGAAGTCTAGACAAATAATCCATATCTTGTACTTCCGGTATCTGAACTTGAGTGAAGCCCTCCATCCATCTTGGGAAATCATTTTTTAGAGGAGCTCCAACGGAGAGATGTAAAAACTATATTTATATTTTTGAAAGATGTAAATGAGAGTTCTACTTCAATGAGAAACATGTAAATTAGAGATTCCATTTATTTTTCTCTCTTTTATTGGCGGGATCCCCCACCAAAACATTTAAATTTAAGTTTTATTTACATTTTCAAACCAAGATGGATATTTTACATCTCTACATTGAAGAGTTTCCGGCCAACCAAAAATGTAAAATACACATTTCAAGACATTTTGCATCTCTCATTGGAAACTACCCTCATTGATAATTAAAAGTACCTATTATATCCCAAAAAGCGGTTTTTCCTTGTTTCTTTCCTATTGCTAACAAATAAAAGAAGAAAATTCAATTTCCCTTCCCTTAGGAAAGATATGGGAAGTCATCTCCCTCAATTCATTTTCGCGTACCAAACATAGCATGCAAGTAAATGCAATTGATAATTGTACGTGACAAACTCGGAACTTCATTTTACTGAGCTTAAAATGACACAAAACCATAGGAAAAGTGTTATTCACACACCAATTTTTACCTCCCACACACTCTTGTTAATTTTTGGCCGTTGATTTTCTTCAATTCATTCGGTCCAACAGCCGAAAATTGAGACAATACGTGAGAAGTAAAAAAAAATGTGTGAACAGCGCTTCCCAAAACCATATTGTACCCCTTGTTTCGATTACCAATTTACCAGACTTCATGTTGATTTAAGAAAAATCTGGTGTGTGCGCGTTTGTGCGGGTGTGAATGTTGATTTTATAAAGCTTGGACTTGCAAGCAAAAGAACCCACATACAGTAAAATACACAACCAAATGTATCCAGTTAAAGTTCACACGAAGGATGAGAGAGAATAACTTAACACCGTCCTCCAAAGAAATGAAACATGAAACACATGACTAACCCTCTCCATCAATACTCACATCCTGCATTTGTCCTTCATCCTACATGGAAAGAAAGAGCTACCATCCTGGCTATATGCCAACAGGCCCGTATATCTCCAAATAACTCGAGAATTAGGAGACCGAAAACAAAAGAAAAATCAAGTAAGAGTAGATGGTGAGGGGAGAAAAAAAAAAGAGCACCTCAATCTTGATTTGTAACTCAAGGTTCCGACTCAGTTTCGGCACATTATCCTGGTGCAAATTTTCACTTCATTGGCCCCAAAAAATAATAGCTTCTACTCATAACTTACAAAGCGGCCTTTTATTTGAAGTTAAAGAGCTGAACTATCCTTTGCAATGTACTTTTTCTATATAAATAAGCCAGAATAACCTAGATGTCTACGTACTCAGAACCAAAAGATAGTAGAAATGCACTAAACAGTCAAGGCCTCCTGCTGGGCATGCCAAGCAACGACGTCTTTGTATGACAAGTTGCCTCCAAAAACATCCAAAGCGCTGCCAACAGTTACATCTACATGTCCCAGTCCCGCCACTTTTATCCTCTCTAAATCAGCCATTACAGTCACACCACCAGCATAAGTTACAGGAATCTGGCACCCAGAAACATATTATGTCAGTGATTTGAACAGGATGTATGATGCATGAACATAAGAATTTCTAAATCTCTGGTGAAACCTATGTTGATTCTCTACTACAACAGCAGTGAATCCCATAGGTAGCCCCAAGCTTTTTGGCTCAACGAGAAAAAATGAATTCTCAAGCTCGAGGGCTTTATACTGATGGTGGATACACATTTTAATCCACATTCAGTTAGTATAAAAATGATTTAGATGAAAACAATCGTTACTCAAAGAAAAGATGACAAGAATCATGGCTCAGTCCTTGTCTTTCCAAGGTCATCTATGTGAGGCTTAAAAACATATTTCTACTGATTGAACATAAATCAAACAACAGTAGTCTAAATAGAAATGTGGATAATAGGTTAGAGAAATTTCTTTTCAGTGCAATGACGAGATGGAGGTACATTTCCAGCAACCTATAAAATTTAAAAAACCGGAGCAGTTGGCAAAAGACATAAATGTGCCATTCTATTAATAGGTTACCAACCGGTGAATACTTTCCAAGCAATGCCACAAGCTCCTCATCAATTCCCAGCCTGCAATAAACAGAAATGAGATCATCCAGTTATAACTCAACGGATAAACAGAGTACATTTGTCCTTTTCAAATATTGGATCAGGTTGGGGGTGGGGGGATGGTACTCATGCCGATACGCAATTGCAAGCTTTCAACAATTATTGTTTAGTAATCAACTAAACATACGAGTAGTAGACCATCTGAAATAGGCAAATATATTTTCAGTATAGCAATTCCAAGAATTTAGGGCCAGCACCAAACTTCAAATGAAATTTATAGCAAAAGCTCAACTCAAAAATGGATCTTCTTTAAACTCGATCCATCAGACATGAAAGAAAATAACATTATTGAAACTTAATCCATTCTTTACTTGATTAGTGAATTTAACTCAAAAGCGATCATAGTTTTATCTGTAAACAGAAGGAAATTCTTGATATCAGAAAAAGCGTCAACGGGAACAAGGATCTAGGAAAGAGAAAGGAAAAGAAAAGCATCTATCTATAACTCAATGCATGGAATTCATGGACCTTTCTTTAAAAAATTTATTTCTCAGTTCTCATAACGATGAGCACAAAGAGCAAAAGCCCTGAATAAATTTCTCAGGCAAGGAGAACAAGTTTAATTTTATTATGAAAAATCATTTTCCTTTAACTAATAATTATAGTCAAAGGCGAATTTGAACCACATTATTGCTAGACATTATGAAGCTTAGCCTACTCCCTCCCCCTTAGTGTAGATAATATCATTTGTTCCAAAAAAATAAAAAAATAAATAATTATAGTCAAAATCTCTTTTAAGGCGTTAAAATTATAAAATTATTTTTGGTAATGAAATAAAATGGCAACATATATGACTTACTTTTTCCCTTCAACATCAACACCATGTACCAGAAATTCGTCTGCATAGTTGGCAAGAAAGTTCAATATTTCCTCATCAAGATTCACATCACTAAACTTCTGCCATCTATCTGTGACGATTGCATATCTACCATCCTGCACACATTAAAAACAATTCATATATGCACATTAAGACCAACATGTAAAAGTGTACAAAAGAGGCAGTTGAAAATGCTGAAGGAGAAATTACAAACAAGAAAAACTCTTTCTTAACAATTCCATAGTTTAGTGTTGATTCTGAAGATTTGCAATTCTCTTAAAATTGTCACTCTAGTCAAACACCACCATTATGATCTAAGTTTTCACTAAACTCAGATTACAATGAATCGAATACACATAAAAATTGCTTAAGAGTTAAGTAAATAAATAACTCAGCTTAGCCCTGAAAAGAAAATAAACACATAGATAATGACAAAGGAGGTTTGATTCTTGCTTGGCCTCATACCCTCTTTCTGCAGCTAAGGTCTAAAACAAGCCCTTCTTTTCCAACAACAAGAACAAGATCTTTAAGCCTTTCAAGGTCCATTTGTCCATTGTTAAATACATACTGCAAAGAAACCACGACAAATGTAAAGAAATGATTTCGTGAAACAATTTGATCCAAATCAGTCCTCTTAATTAACATATAGATGTAAAAGGGTGACGAAAGGGTAGCAACTTACGGAAGTGACAATGACATGGCTAGCCCCTTCTTCTATGTAATTCAAAGAATTTTCTGAATTGATCCCACCTCCTACTTGCAAACCACCTAGATTATACCAGTCCTCGCAGCAAGTTCAGCAGAGGAAAATCTGTAAGTTTCAAACATATCATCAACAATATAGATTAAAGTGAAACAGCATACTCCTAAGGCACTCAACTTACTTGAAAAATCTCAGAATCTGCAGTATTATCAGACACGGATGTTTTTGCAAAAGTGCTAAAGTATCTGATGCTGGGTAATAATCTTTTAATCTAATTCACACTCATATCACCACCCATATTTACTTCTTAAACTCTATATCGAAAGTTCGCAACTGAGAGAAAATCCAATAAGAATCACTTTTCGAACATTAACAGAATAAATACTAGAAGACAATTTAAATCATTTGATCCGAAAATCGATTAACAGCATCAGAATCTACAAGAACAGGAAGGAAGGCAATGGACCCACCAGGATAGGCATGCAAAGCTTCAATGGCTGCAGCTCTACTCAAAGGGTCAGCTCCAAGCATGATAACATGACCACCTGTAAGCCCATCTTCTTTATACATCTTTGCATACTCCGCTGCAGACTTATCCGACACAAAATTGGTAACAAGAACCGACCCATCATCCTTCAAATCAGAAAGGGTAGACCCAACAATTTGTTTCACTTTCCCCTGAAGCAAAAATCAACATAACAATCACAGAAATCCCAAAAGAAAGATAATTAAGCTCGTCACAAAAACGAATATAACCGATTCACAGAAAACCCCAATTGATTCGGAAGCATGAATTTTGATAAACTGAAGTTGTAGTACCATGTGTATGTCAATGCAAGGCCGGAAGCGAACGGCGCAGCGGATCGAAAGCCGCCGGGTAAAACCTGCACCAGAAAATGGGAAAATGCGCGTTGAACTGGATGAAAAGGGTAAATACGAAAGTAGGAGCAGAAACGGAAGCAGAAGTTTACTTACTGGACGCCATGGAAGGTCTGGCAGTGAAACTTTTACGGTTTGCCGCGCCGAAAATTGAAGAGCTCGGAGGTCTGTGAAGTGTACGGACATCGGAAGAGAAAGCGGCATTGAAGGTCCCAACTTTCATTCTGCTTCTGCGCCAAAGTTTGGATTTTTTTGCTTTTCTCAGTCCAGGTTGAAGATCAACAGAAGAGTAGGATGCCGAGTGAATTGGGTCGACGGGGTGTTTATGTCAAATTACTGTTTCGCCCCAAGGTTTGGGGGTTCTTTTTCAAATGCATATTTTAAAAAATAATAATAATAATTGTTTCTTAACTTTCACACAATTGGAGTAATAGTTTTTCACCCAAAAATTTGTTGGCGTTGATCCTTTAACTTATCAAAATATATGATCATTTTCATCAACTCCGTTAGAATTTTTTTCAAAACAAGTCAGGTATCATGCACACGAGGCTAAATCAATAAATAAATATGGATAAATAAAAATATATGTAGCAATAATACTTTAACTTTAACGCAATTGAAGAAATAATCACTCAATTTTAGCATGGTTCCTCAATTTTAATCAAATTATTGTAATTATTCTTTCAACATAACTTATTTTGACGAAAAATATCATAGATGCACGTTTTAATGACTTACATAATTAATAGTCATAAATTTTTAGTTAAATGACCATTTATCTAGAGAATTTTAACAAAAAACTCCCGGTACTATTCACTTTAACGAAAAATCACATTTTACACAAAAAAGTCAATCATAGTACTATTCAATTTACCTTTTATTTTGTCTTTATCGTTAAAACTTAAAGTTTTCAAGTCATATTCATTAGTTTTTCTTTTATCTATAAAACTTTAACGAAAAGTTTACAGTATTGTTTACTTTAACAAAAAATTATATTTTTACACTAAAAGTTCAATCATAATATTATTCACTTTACCATTTATTTTATCTTTATCATTAAAATTTAAAGTTTTTAATAATATTTGATATTTGGAGAGAGAAAAATTCACAAATGAACTCTTATCCCTTCACATCATCCGACTAGGACATGACCGTAATTTCACCAGCTTCATATCGTTCATCCCAAGTCCATTTCGAAGCTCTCCAATTCTGAGCCACTCGCCAAGAATTCCATGGCCACAGCAACTTAGCAAAACCCACCCAACTCCCGAACGAAAATTCAACCCGTCGATGGCGTCGATAGCCACCTGCTTCACCCTTCCGCCGAAGCACCACTGTCCTCGCCCTCGCATCTTCAAATCCTCACTCCTCCCCAACCCTCCCAGAACCTTCCGTCTCCACCCGACGCCCATTTTCCCGGGATTTGGCGCCAAGTTTCGGGAATCTAGAGTTTCTGTGTCAGCTGTGAAGTCGGGTCTAGACGCCGCCGCCGCCGCCGCTGCAATCAGGCCCGGTGGCGCTGTGGAGAGCGATAAGTTGCCTTCCGATGTGAGGAAGCGAGCGATGGAAGCTGTGGACGCTTGTGGAGGGAGAGTGACGATTGGTGACGTGGCTGGCCGGGCTGGGCTCAAGCTTAACGAAGCTCAGAATGCTCTGCAAGCTCTCGCTGCTGACACTGAAGGATTCTTGGAGGTACTTTTAATTTCGGAAAGTTCTGAACTTGTTAGTTGTTTCCCAAAATGCTTGCTAAGAAAATGATGGGGTTTGTAGGTTTGTTTAGTTATTTTAAAAAATTTGTGAACTTGGAGTCGTTTTCGAAAATGTTTGTGAAGAAAATGTATGGGGTTTATAGGTTAGTTTAGTTATTTTCACAGATTGTGTTTGTGGTGAGTCCAATTTTTGTTTTCAAGATGGTCCCAACAGGTTTCGGATGAAGGCGATGTGCTCTATGTTTTCCCCAAGGATTATCGGGCGAAGCTTTTGGGAAAATCGCTTAGAATGAGAGTTGAGCCTGTGCTTGAGAAGGCAAAGGTAGTAACTTTGTGGAATTTTTGGTTATAATGTTTGGCAATTGGAACTAACATAATGCATTTTGACAGGCTGGGGTTGAGTACGTAGCGAGGGTTTCATTTGGAACTGCCCTAGTTGCTTCCATTGTTCTTGTTTATACTGCAATTGTTGTTGCTCTGTCTTCTGGTAGAAGGTAAGTTTCCATGGTATTGTTATTATCTCTATTGTTAAATAATTTCTATTCTGGGCAGGATGGTTGACACTAGTGTTTTGGTTACAGTGAAGATGACAATCGTGGAAGACGTGGAGGAAGGTCGTATGATTCAGGGTTCTCTTTTTACATGAATCCATTTGACCTCTTTTGGTAATACCTTCTTCTTACTTGTTAAGTACGCTTTTTCATAATGTTTTTCATAATTCTGTGGAACGGTTTCAGGTTTAATTATATTAGTTGTTGGAACTTGTAAGAGACTTTTGCTCACACCTTGTTTACCTTTTATTTCATGAAGGTTCTGGGATCCATATTACTCTAGGAGGCGGCGAGTACAAACAGAACGAGTACAAACAGATGATAACAAGATGAATTTCGTTGAATCTGTATGTGATGGATTTAATCATTCTTTTTCTGTTGTCTCTTTGCTAGGTTTGTATTTGAAGAAAGTATTGACTTTATGATGTTGTCTTTTAGATTTTCTCATTTGTATTTGGCGATGGTGATCCAAACCAAGGAATCGAAGAAGAGAGATGGAAGTTGGTAATAATTGAGCACTGAGTTCAGTGGTTCGTTGCTTTCAACAATTTGTTTCATTTCATTGGTTGTGTTTGTATGCTTTTATATGCAATTAGATTTATTTCTTGTCAGGGTAAACTAGAATATAGGGGTATATATAACTCTCTCTCTCTCTCTCTCTCTCTCTCTCTCTCTCTCTCTCTCTCTCTCTCTCTCTCTCTCTCTCAATCAATCAAGCTACATGTACATAGTACCACCTCTTAAAATCTTCCATGGACCTTTTTGGCTTGACTTTTGAAATAGGATATGGTATTTTGTCATAGGTTCTTGTGTGAATCCTTGATTTAATATTTCGAAAGAATATACAGGAGTTTATGACTTTTGTTGAGGTCATATATATGTGTGTGTGTGTGACCTCATTCATGTGTATATGTAAAATCCAAAACAAGGAAAGAATAAAAGGAATTGTTAGGTTAAAGTAATGTGCTGAATTCATTTATGACATTATTTGTTATAAGGGTGGAAGTTGTAGAATTGTGGATTGCGTAATTGGCGGATAGCTTTTAGACTAGATCAAAGATCAAAACATAAGAACTGCACTGGTCTTGTGCTTGGGAATTGTCGTGATTATTTTGAAACTTTTGTTACATCCCCAAAGCTCTCTATAAACTAGATGATGTGATATTGGAAAATATAAGATTTTCACAAATACTGAAGGTAGTTGGGGATCCTCTCTCAGAAACTGTTGTCCACCTATAGTAAAGTCCTCAAACTTTTTTATTGTAGAATCCTTGGTTGTGTGACTCTATGTCTTATTCCTAAAGTTTGATAATCTGTTGCTACTTGTTATCTTGGAACTGTTATTTTGATTGTCATTAAAAATCATGATAGATATGTATATGTGTAATGACAAAATTATCCCTTGAAATTTAAATTCAGATCGGACAATACATATCCTCTAAAGGTGGGGTTGTTGCAGCTGAAGAGCTTTCTCCATATCTTGATATAGAATCTTCAAGGGAAACTCTGGTAAATATTTTGTTTTTGGTTGTCATGCTCGTTTGTAATTCCCAACTCTTGATGTAATGGAGTTTTCTTTTGTATTTGGAGAATTTGTACTAGTTCCGGCTGAGATTGGATTATTGTTTGATGGTTAATAGCAGGCACTTGCATCCATTGGTTAGTTAATTGAACACATTAGAATACGGCATGCGTCGTCATTTCATGATGCTCTATGGTTTGACCTTTAATATGAAGTTTCATTTGTAAAATCCAATCACATTTGCATAGTTCCTCATAAGAGGCTCGAACTGGAATTGTTCTTTTACACAGTGTTTCCAAACTTCATACTCAATAGTGTAGATAATCGTGATCTTTTGTTTATTTCTTTATAAAGGAAAAAGCTCCAAACAACTGTTGAGGTCACTTATATGGTTTATTGTGCAGTTTGGCTCTTTATTGAGCACATCAATCCGTTAAACTCTTCAAGGCCTTGAAAATTTTCAGTTTCTTTTACTATATTCAGCATTTTTCTTTTTATTCATTATCATGCTGCTTGACATTTTTTACTTTCCGTTAATTTCAGAATGATGAAACATACATCTTACCTGTTCTTTTACGGTATGAGGGTCAGCCTGTTATAGATGAAGAGGTATGTTTAACGTTTTTGTTTTCTAATAAATGGCTTATATTTCTTCTTCTTTCTCCGTAAATATATAGGAATTGGAACTGTTGGATAAATATGCTTATGTTTCCTTGGGCCTGGTACATGATTGCAATTTCACAAATCATTCCGTCTCTATATTGGATTTCATTACGCAGATGGAAAGATATAATATTAAGTAGTCATTCATAGAAAAATTGGTTATGATGCAGGGAAATATTCTGTACCAGTTTCCATCTCTACAGCGCACAGCATCTTCTCAGAGGAGTGGAAGGAAGGAATATGTGGGGAGAAGATGGGCTGATTTTGTTGGAGGGGTTAACAAATTTTTCCAGGAGAAGAAATGGCAATTCAGGTCCTTTATATGATTGCTGTTGCTGATTATATTGTGAATTCATTGGGAAATTAAAATGAAACAATTAAGTTTTCCGTTTGCAGTAACACTACCGTTTCTGAAAGAGCAATGGTCGCTGGACTTGGTGGACTTAATTTATTTGGGGTTATCATTCTTGGAACCATCTTAAAGTATGTCTGACTTGAACTTTGTATTTGCTTTGATTGTTTTTACTCTATATTGCTCTGATGACCACCACTTTCTTATTTGAAGGGATACTAGAATTGCACCAGCTGGTTTTATTAAGTTCGTTTCTAGCATATTTCCACTACTTCAGGTATGATTTTATTTCAAATAAATTAAAGTTCCCTACTTGCAATTAAGAATATGTACTTTTTCTGTTAAATGGTTGGCTCACATGCAATCCTTTTCTTGAATAGTGGAGAGTGATCCCTCTTATGAAGCTCTTCCTATACAAAGGGAGAGCATTTTTTTTACAACGACCTGATTAAGTCCTTGGGCTCTATTGGGTTTGATTTTATCTTGTCTCACAATTATTTGCAGATTTATGCTGGTTCTTTCTTTGCAATTCCTTTGTTGCGGTGGTTCGTCCTGCTTAAGACAAACGCTGACATAGAAAAAAGAAATAAAGCAAGACAGCAGTGTGCTCAATCCCTTGAATTGCCAGATATCTCACTTAGAAGAAAGGTGTGCTTCTTTAGAATTTTGTCTTGATCAATCGTTTCTGTCTCAACTTCACATGTGTGCTTTGTAATTATTTAAATTTGCACTCACACACTAGTTAGTAGGGGAGAGTTATCAGATCAATAAAAAGAAATATCACCTATTGCTAATCAAGCCCTCTCTCGGTGATTGCATTGCCATTGGACTGAAAATTAAGTTAAAACATACTAGTCCAACGAGGCTGCATTTATTAACTGTTGTAAGATGTGAAGTTTCAAACTAAAATAGCATAGTATTCTTCAATTGAATGCTCACGTGAGGTTGTCTTAGGGTGTAAGGTATAGGATTTGTCATAAGGTAATCCTGTACTTGTCGATGTAAAGCCAACTGAAATAAAGAAAAAGGAACAAAGAACAAAAACTAGATTAACTTTGTTCTTTCAATGATTAAAACAATATTTACTTATATTTTTCTATATGATGTTTCAGCTCCTCAGTGCTCGGGACATGGCCCAAAAAACATTCATAGGGCAGGATAGAATTGTATATAGTACGGACAAGGATTTGGTTGAGCAAGACTATGAAGCCCAAGAATGGGATAAGAGATTTCGAGAAATAGAGAAGTCAGATTGAGAACAGGCTACCATTACTTGGTAAGTTTATACATTTCTTCCCTTGGATGAAAGTACTAATTGCTTATCTAGGTATGAAAGTACTAATTGTTTATCTCTAAAACTTAATAGTTATAAGGCGAGGATTCAAGAACGCAAGGGATGCTAATTAGTAAATCTCGTCAAAATGTTTCTTTCACTTGCTGATTAGCCGATTATATGTTTTGTTACAGGCACTGGAGCTACTAGTGATCTTCAAGCAGTCGATTGGCAAGCTTACGCGCTCTTGGTGGTATTTGCATTTGTTTGAAGTGTAAATAAAAGATTTCAGGTGGACAAAAACACTACCTATGAAAGAATTTATGGATAACAGGGCTCACGTATAATTTTCAGGATCCCCTTATGTCTGCAATTTGTTGAATCGGACACAGGTAGCATTCCGCGGCGGTGAATGTCACCCGGGAGGCAAAAAGAAGGGGCGATACCGGCTTCTCGCTCGTTACCTTTGTTCAGTGAACTAGTGAAATACTGATTGTTAGAAACAAGTGCAACACAGTGGAATCTTAACATACGATTTTTGCTGGGCATTCGTTTTCATTTTTCGCATAAACTTACGAGACACGATAGCAATCTCGTACTTTGTCATGACATTACCAATTTTCCTCCAGATAAAAGTATTTAAGTGGATCTTCCACGCCAATCAAAATGCAGATTTTGGTTATTGTAACTGAAAAATGATGGATCGACGCCGCTGCTCTATCAACAATTGCAGTTTCAGACCAAATACAACGTAATCACTCGAGAGTACCAACACAAATTTACACACTGCTGAAAGAAAACCATTATACTGGCTCCAACGGCCCCAGTGTTCTTGACAATACAGTCATGCTGCCTACTAGCAGAACCGACGATCACACAAAACCAATACATCCGACAGAAATTCACTCTCGGAACAATGGCACGATGCCCATCGGTGCAAAATTTCTCCGAGTTTGAATAGTGTTGGCATCCGACCATGATGAGGGTCAGATGGCGAAAAAGCAGTTCTTCCCATGTTAAAAAGTCTTGAGAAAACCCTTTACATATACAGATTGTTGAGTGTACCCAAACCTCGAATGTCTTTAAGCAAGCCGGGACACCAGTATGCCTGCGTGACGAGCAGAGTTTCAGCCTCATTCATATTAAAACGATATATCGCTACCAGTTGAACAATCACCGACTGTTGTAATCAATGTAAAAACTGTAAACACTCGTTAATGTCAAAACCTACTTGTATATTATGATCTTCCGACAATGATATACGATAAATGCTTTATATTTATCTCTTAATAAAGCAAGTTACTTCATTTTAAAATGGGTGTCAAAATGTGTGTCAAAAGCGCGTATCCCCGGATCCTAACACTATATATATATATATATGAAGAGTCGGTTTTATGTCAGACTTCCTTAACAGATACTTCGGTGATCATAGAAGAAATAGCATAATAATCGTATTTCTAGTTTGCTCTTTGGGCTAACAACCTACTAGTTTTACTTCAATAAATAAAAATGGTAATCATTTAGCTTGAATGACAGCTAAATGTAGTTAACAATGTAAGACGCACTGCGGAAAAATAATAAGGAATCTGTCCTCACCTAAAATAATGAGCGTAAGTAGTATTATCAACACCACTTGAATAGAATGCCGCTGAACTTGAATGTGATAAGGTGATCTTTCATATCTTGCCCTAAATACACCAAGCCAGGTCCGTAAGTACATTACTTTTGTCCGAATCCCCATACCCAACTCTTTGAAATTTCTATACAACCACGGTCCCTGATGCTGACCCTGTCAAGGACAAGCAAACCAATAAGCATCTAGGCTGAAGCATAGAAAGCCAAACCAAGTTTTCCATGACGAACTGAATCAGGACACAGAGCGGAATCAGATATAACCACACAACAATCTCCTTTCGGAACACTGAAAATTTAAAACAACTTACAAGTATCCTTCTTTGATCTCAAGTCACAGCTATCAGCTATTTACTAAAGAAGAAATATGAACTATTGAACATGCAATACTTAACGGAATTGGAAAATTCAAGAACTTAATTATCCAAGAAAGGAAAACTTGATGCTTGAATTACAGATTTGAGATTAATAGAAGAGTTGTGAACAATTAAAAAGTTTCTAATTTCCAATTGCCAAGACACTTTTTTTATGTAAATAAGTATTTGCACACTTTGTATAGTAGTTTTATCAGTGCAAATAAGTATCATACATGGGTAGAAGATCTTCCTTAATCCTTACTGCACCAACTCTACGAACAGTTATTTGCAAGAAAAACCATTATAAACATTTGGCATCACTACAACAACTGTAATTACCTGTGCGCCATGAGAAACACCAGCACTTGATGGGGAATGACTTTGTTCTTCTCCATCTTTAAATCTCTTTGTATAGCTCCCAGTTACCCTACTCCCATAAACACTCCATGCCGTATTCAAGAACCCAAATACGTTTGTTCTGCTGAAGCTTTCAGGTTTGGCTTCGTTAGCTTCCAGATCCCAACTCTCACCACCTCCATATCTGTTACAAGAGGTCTCTGGAAAAGAATCTGTAAAGTCAGATTTCAACCTTGTACTGCCAATGTCCCAACTCCCACCTTCACCGAATCTGCTATAAGAACCAACTTTCCTCAAGTTATTCTCCTTGATAGATTCAATAACACGGTCCACATGTGCCACTCCATTCATATTCAAGTCCTCAATTTCTCTGTTTTTGTCCTCAACGATACCAGAAGTGCCGTCTTTAGCATTAGATGTGGTTGGATCAAGAAATCTTCTCAAGATACTGTTGTCTTCCACTTTTTGACAATCAGTGGGCTCGGCATTATTTCCCCCAGAAAGGAACAATGCCAAACCATCTCTATCTTGTTCATTCAAGTTAACCCACTCTGTATTTCTCATGAGATCATCTCCTATAGCTGTACCCTCCAAGCTCTTCTCCACATAAAGTATGTGTTCCCTAATGGCTCCTATAAACTGTTTGTGTCTTGAAATTACATCCTCCCAATTTTGAGACCTTCCTGCCATAGCTGAAAAGCTTACTGCTCTTTCAAAATCTTCCAACTGGCAGGAGAGAATCACTAAAACCTAACTAAACCAAAAATTAAAAAAAATGAAGAAAAAAGAGTTGAGTTGTACAAAGATTACCACCTGCCACTTTGCAGTTTCAAGTGTTGTAGCAAGATCACGTTTGTGATAATCTATTGACACACGTAACTTTGGGTCTGGACAGTCACCTTGAACAAGACTGAGCTCATGCAGCAGAGAGCGGAAAACCGATTCCATCCTAAAATTTAAAACACCAAAACAAAAACAGCATTGGTTTCAGGGAATGTACAGTTCATAAGCAATTCAACATAATAAAACACAGAACACCAAATCCAATAGCAATCCACAACAAAAAAAAAAGTTACTTATGCTTATACAGCAGTGAGTTATCAATCTGTAAGCTCCTTTATTTTTCGAAAAAGCAAAATATTGAAGATAGTAAAAATGAGCAGGAGAGTTGGCGAGTCGCAGTTAAAGTTTATTTGTTACTGTCATTTCTCGAAAGCTGATGTTCTATATTGACAAAGTTTCAGAGAGACGGGCCAAACGTTCCAACACCGGCATTGTCCTCAACTTAACCACCTGCTAGCCCGGCAGGAGTGGGGTGTTATCCTGAAAGGTCTCGGTGTAATTAGAAATACAACCACGTACTTATAAGTTGTAAATTATTTTGTTAAAGTCCCGCTGTTAGAATTTCCAACACGCTCCCTCACGTGGGACCATATTTCACATCGGGAAAGGAAAGACAAGCACGTAAATACTGCACACTTGAACTTTTCGAGTAGCTCGACAAGCATAAGAAAAATTAGTATTGATGCATATGAAGTCCCATTTGTGAAAGACAACATTACTCAAACCAAACAAAAATCTTCAACAAAAAAATTAAATTCTGATGCCAACATTCTAACATAGCTCAGAAATCAAGTTCATCAACACAAACATTTCAAAAATTATAACTTTTCACCTTTTTTTTTTATTAACTTTCTTCCCAACCCAAAAAATTAAGTCAAGATTTTTGCTTCTTTTCCTCCCAAAAGCAAGAAGAACACTTCCAAATTCCAATACATATTAAAATTAAAAGAAGGGAAAAAAGGGAGGAGAAAATGAACCTGTCAGCGGAATCTTGGACGACTTCGGCTGCGGAGAACAGAGGGTCCGACTCCCATTGGTGCAAGCTCGACGCCATTATTTTCTATTTATTTTGTTTTTTACGATCACCTCCAAATAGAAAGTTGCAGTATTTATTCACATAAAAATAAAAAATTTAATTTCAAATGTCGAATAAGAAATTGGGATTTTAGGGTTTAGGGTTACAGAGATGCCCGAAACGGACACGAAAGGTGTTCGTTAAAATGTCGGAACGAGAAACTTTTTTGGAGCGTAAGGATGGACGGTACGGACGAGATCCTCTCCGGATCCACAATCCGAAAATCAATTAATCGTGGCTGTTCATTGTACATAGTATGATGTACAATCAATTTTTTTTAAGAATTATTTATATTTAATTTTTAAATAAAATAATTTCTAACTGTACAAAGAATAAACACAATTGATTGATCTTTCATATCTTCACAAAAAGAATCGGAGATAATCCTATTCCGGAAGGTACCAGAGTGTCATGATTGATCACACAATCAGCTTCCACCACGGCATTAAGCCAGTTTGGAAGTCCTTATAAAATAATTAAAAGCATTTTCATATCAACTAAAGCGATTCTAATTACATTTAGCAAAAAAAAAAAAAGTGCTTTTTGGATTCAAAAAGTTATTTGGATGTTCGTGTAGAAAAAAAAAAACATTTTAACTGCTTTTCAATGTGCTTCTAATTGATGTGAGAGATCGTTTGAAAGTGCTTTTAAAACGACTGAAAGTGACGTTGGTGAAAGTGTTTTTTGGTTTCAAAGGAACTGGAACAGAAAGCACTTCAAGTGTTTTTTCAGGATTCACTTACAATTTTACTAAGAATTGGTTACCAAAGCACTCTCATAAAAATCTTTTTCAATCATTTTAAAAATACTTTAAAAAAAACCTGAATCCCCTTTACTAGAAGTGATGGGCCTATGTGTTTTAAAGAAGTTCCAAGCCCATTGTCTATTGTTGAGCACTTTAATTTGGAAAATATTATTCTCCTTTTCTTTCGGTTAGTAAGTTCCGAAAACATTTTGCAGGAGTCATGATTTCCTACCGATAAAATTGGATTTTGACATCTCTATGGATATTATAGTACATGGGTCCAACTGTAATTTACAACAATGAGGTATGAGAAGCTACTAATCAAGTGGTCCATCAAAACGTCAATAATTATCAGTTGTTCACATTCGCATAAAAGAAGATTAACGATAGCGAAACATGCATAACAATTGGTTTGGACATGTTTGTCCATCTATTATGGAATAGTTTATAGTTTGACCTTAATTTTTGTCAAGAATACTTAGCTCCTTACACATAAAGAAAACATTACTAGTTTAATGCATCTCCTTCCAAGTGGCTGGACTGATGCCATCCCAGCCTGCCTGTTTGCACTTTCACAGCAGCATGGAGAGTGCTTTCAAATTTTAAATGGCAGTAATATCACATGAGCTCGTTTGGTGACTAAGATTGGATTAGAGCCGATAACTCATACAATTAAAGAAAGCTCGTACTTTAAAGGTAGAGGTGAATGATTTCTCATTTTTGGCTGGACTAGACATGAAAGAAACTTATCCCTTCTAATCCTACCATTATGTGGGATTCGAAGGGATAAGTTTCCTCAATGCGTTATCCATCTTCTACCTTCAGGCTTCAAGTTGGACACAATCTTCAGTTCTTTCAGGCTTCAAGTTGGACACAATTTCTTCAGTTCTTTCATCGACATACCTTACACACAGAGTTGTCTACGTCAATTCAATCTTCGTCACCGTACAAGCGCCATGGAAATTGACAGCATTTTCTTCTGCTATGCAAAGGATATGATATTGTCATGGAAAAACACATGGTTTTGGACAATTTTCTTTAAGAACTGAAAGATGGGAACGAACTACTTAAAACCCGATCGAAATTTCGATATTGTCATGGCAAAGATTAAATTATGACAGGAACAATGACAGTAATACAGCACAGGAAGTAGCATGCCAACTTACAAGAAATTAAGAATGCTTCTCAGATGAAGTACTTCACCATCTGAATCTCCTTCTGCTTGTACCCACATTTCTCATAGAACGCCTTGTTCTCAACACTGCAATCGAGAATCACCTTATAACACCCCAACGAGTGAGCATAATCCGTAAGGGCGTCAATCATCTTCTTTCCTAACTGCATCCCACGCGCATTGGCATCAACCACAACGTCTTCAATGTGCCCGACTTTGCCACAGTTTCTTATAAACTTCCTTTCAATGAACACACTCCCAGTTGCCACAATCTTCCCGGAGCGATCATCTTCTATTACAAAGACCTGATGGTCCTCTGCTCGGGCACTAAGCTCCTTAAATCGATCTTCAAAGTCCTTGTCGGATACAGAATCACAAACGGTCAGCTGTTGCAGTAGTTCTATGAATCCCTTGCCTTTGTCTGAGAGTTCTAGCTTCCTAACTTGGAAATTGTGTTCTTCACTGTTTGCCATCTTTTGCGGTCTGAGCACTCGTTACAAGCTGTTAAAAAGTTGAATCAAATCAAAACTCAACAAAGATAACACCATGGTCCCTGGAATTGAACTTGTAAATTGAGTCCATTAGTCCAGTCTCTAACATACTATGGGAAGCTAGCAAACCAATCGCTTTCCAGGAAGTGATTTTCGCTCGTCATTTTTTATCTGAGCCTTTGGATTGAAGAAATCAAAGGTGAATCAGTGAACAAAAACGAGGTTAGGAGTGTAGAAGGAGAAAACGGGAGTGTGAAAACCACTACACTCTTCACATTCTTCTCTCATTTGGATTACACGCTTCACGATCAACACTTTCCTTTTCTCAACCACATAATAGTGGACATACATGATTACAATGTGATAGAATGGACATATGTTGCATATAAAACTGATGGATTCCTACGATGCATGGACACGAACACGAGGATACGAGATATGTAAAATTTAAAGAATTGTTGTATGAATACAAAGGAATTCGACACGACAAGGGGATACGGAGGATACCCCGTGTCCATGCGTAGATGGGCTCGATCCGAAAATGAAAATACGACCCGGATTCGAATAGTTATTGAATCAAACACTACCTAATGGATTTGATAACAATTCTGAGTAATGGACTGCAAATTAAATTGTCAATGATTGAGAAATAAGTAAATCAAGGTTACCTCAGAATTCTCTGCTGCAGTTGCTGTTGCTGTGGAATTTCAGGGACTTGTGGCTGTTGCACATCCGCGGAGAGAATGCTGATATTTCAGGGTTTGGTACGTGGGGTCATAAAGCAAACTTGTTTATTTGCAACCTTGGGAATGAAAAGCACGTGACTTTTGGTCACGGTTTATGACGAAAACGCCATATTTCCTCTGGCGGCCTTGATTGATTCAAATCCGAGGTTATAAAAGATACAAGGTGCTAGTCGGACGGCATGTTGGAGCTTTGAGCTTAGGGCCTAAACGGCTAGGAGGGGGTTAGACGAGCGCCTAGACTAATTAGACAGATTTAAATGAATCTATTATATTATGTGTATATAAGTATCGGTTTAACTTAATATATATAATTTCATTATAAATTACAAAGTAGAATGATATATATATATATATATATATATATATATATATATATATTATGAAGCATTGAAACATAATGAAAACATGAAGAACAAGCATATAATGTGTGTTCATTTAAGTATACAACAAGTCCCTAATAATTTATTGTAAAAAAACAAAAAAACAAAATGAAGGTTATCTATTTTCTATCTAAATGAGTCGCAACTTAGACCGGTGCCTAGACGGGTTTGGACAGGCACCTCAACAGTTCTATGCGCTCTTTCTTAATTTTCAAAAACCTAAGCACTAATCGGAACGATGGCCAACCGCCTAGCGCCTTAACGGTGCTAGACGAGAATTTTTAGAAGTGTTCAAATGCATATGTTTGATCAAAATACAGCAGTCTTGTGTTGATTGTAGCAGATGAATCACACAATCCCTGTATTCGTTCATCGTCGATAGAGCGTTTCGCACATTAGAAAATGAGATCTGTATTCATTCATAATCGAGTTTAACAGATGGGAATCCAACCAAAAGAACTCAGTTGAACAGATGGGAATTGAACCGAAAGAAACCTTTCACGTCGATGGTAAAGTACGGCTTCCAACTGAGTCCATTACAATGAAAGAATTAGGGTTTCGGAAACCCTAATTCTTTCATCCCAATTGATACTATCAATCACCATCCACCAAACACCGGAGAGAAAGAAAAGGCTTTCCTTCAAAATTTTCCAAAAGCATTCATCCAGAGCAACATCGAGTACTAAATTATGGTTTAACAACGAAATCAAAGTCATCAAAAACAAAATAGAACACCGAAAGGTATAAATGTCTTTCAAAAAAGTTACGCTGACGCTTCCTTCACTTGGAAAGTTTTCGATAAAGATTAACTTAGTAGATACGGATAGCTTTCCCCATCGTACTCTTCAAGTTCAAGGACCTCACCTATTTCGTACAAACATAAAGGCAAAATAAGTACCATTAAGGGTGAAAAGGATAAAAGCATATATATAGTGATATTCAAGTAGAAATTCGAGACTTCGAATGCAAATCAAATCTTAGTTTCAGACTGAATCATAATTTACACATTCTCGTATGTTCGATCAAATGACATTAATAACAAGAAGCCGAAATTCAGCAGGATCAAAGAAAATAAGCATTTAAAGTTTATCCATAAATTTGGAAGCTAAAACTTGGAAGTTAGAACAGAGCAGGTATAAATAAAAAACGAAACCATGAAAGTAGGTCGAAGCAAATAACTTACATTTTGCCAGTTCTTCTTCAACAATGAAACCAAGAAATTGACACTGAGTTGTACATTCTGGAAAATCTGCTTCTCCTCCATAGCGAGATTCCCGACAGCAACACCCATGCAAAGAACCTTCTTAAGTTGGAACTTCACCATAGCTTTGGTCTCGTTAAGTTTTGCCTCCAGAGATTCCTGGTGACTCACCAAGGTTGGAAACTTACCTGCGCTTTGTCAACAAAACCAAAACTAGCGTTAGTTGCTTTCTTAATAAATTACTATGTCCAACGAAGCAAAAGCAGAACAGATACTAATCAGGAGTACTTGCCTGCCTTGTTAAGACCAGGGCCAAGAAGACGAGGAATCTGCTTAATGACAGCTTCAGAAGCTAAAAAGGCATGGTATTTCTTGGCAAGCTTCTTCACAAGTTTCTTGTTCTTGTTCAGCTTTTTCAAGCTTTCCACGTCCATATAATCCAAACCCATCTTCTCTGCCTGTAGTAAAGCATAAAAGATAGGTTATAAGTCTACGCGTAGACTACGCACGTTTAATTATTTTTTTTTACTTTATCCCAAATGCACCAGAGAATGACAAATCATCAAATTCATAAACAGTTTGATCAATAAGGAAATTTACCTCTTCAACATGCTGGGCGTCTCCAAGCATGCAAACCCTCATCTTAGGGCGAGGAATGTGTGGAAGCCTGACAGAACCACTGAAACGCTTGTCCTTTTGGGGGTCATAGTTCTTCAGACCAATCTGAAGCTCCACTGTCTCAGTGAACTTCCTCTTCTTTGTCTCAGAGTTCGTCTTAATCTGAGAAATGGCTTCCCTCAGCCCATCGCTTGACAGCTTACTGTTAACAAAAATAATAAAAACATGAACTTCAGATACATAACACTATAAATGATATAACAAATGAATGTAAACAAAATCCGAAGCGGAGCTTTGTAAGGTTCGAGACTCGTCCGACAGATATGGGGAATGTGTTACACATTTACCACTTTAGATATATAAAACAATCAATGATAAAGAAATGAATGTACAACAATTTCAAATCATCTTACGATTGTCAGGGACTTTTTTGCCCAACACCACTCAAAAAAACATAAATTAAAAACCCTAAAAACTAGTAATCAAAACACACGCCTCTCTGCTAAAGCTATATCATATAATCCTCCAATACAATAACAGATTAAGGAGAATTAAATCTCTAACCACGATTTCTAGCCACTAATCACTCGACAAAACCAAATTAAATCACGTAAATAAAAGAGATTCAGGCAACCTACTGAAGCACGACCAAAAATTTGAGATTTTAGATTCTAAAACCACCAAAATTCAAATTAAATCCAATTCGAGCAATAACCCAAAACTAATTACAATCAGATGAACGAAGAACAAGAAAAAAAACAATGAAATTACCTCATGGTTGGTTAGATCTTTGTCCTCGCTGCGAAAAGACTTCCTGCAAAATCAGAAAAACGAAGTGAAAATTTTGGTGAGGGTGCAATGTAGAAGGGACAGAAGGATGAGATGAGAAAACCCTAGCGGCGGCGGAGATTACCTGAAGAAGGAAGACGAAAGAACAGGATTTTCGGGCTGCCGCTACTGAGTGAGGGTGAAAGGAGAAGTAGCGACTCCAGAGACTTTATAAAACCCTAGCTCTTGCTACGCTTTTATAAGGGGCCGCTCGCATGTGATTTGTCTAATTTTATATTTGCCCCTATACTTGTAACTATTTCTTTTTGGGATGTGTTATTTACACATCATTTTTACTTCTCACACATTTTTTGTTAATTTATATGTGCTGATGTTCTTCAATTCATCTTATTCGACGGCCGAAAATTAGAACGGTGTGTGAGAAGTAAAAATTGGTGTGTGGATATCACACCCCTTTCTTTTTTCATATTGCTTGGTTATTTACAATCATATCCTTCAACTTCGACTTAAGTTTCATTTTACTCGTTGGAATTCAAATCTTGTCACTTTTAACTTTCCGAAATTGGAACAAATTTCATCAATGTATACGTTAAAATTTTTACTTAGCGCAAATAAGACCAATTACTATTGAGATGTATGTCATGTGTTCCCAAAAATGGTTTACCTAGCAACTTTTCCTCTTTCTCTTTGTTTAGGACGAGGGTGGGGGTTCTCGCATGTAAAACATTACACTTCAGAGAAAATTATTTTAAATTACTTAAATATTTAGAGAACAATTACGTGTAATACTTAAAAAATTTCACAATTAAGGATCAATTAGAACATGACAAATGGATAAATAAGGAACTTTTTCTTTGAATGAACTTTTTAAATGTTTTTCAATAAAACTTATATTTATCGGGGTGATTTCTTTAATTTACTTAGAATGAGGTGGGAGGAGAATAAGAAAATAGTGGATTTTGCAGAGGAACCAGAGACAAAACATAAAATTGTGTTCAATCCATTTGATATAATAATTGAATTTTTTTTTGGTTTAAGTGTCAAAATGATTCCCGTGTTTCACCTTATCGGTCAATTTGGTCCTTATATTTACCTCAGCTAGCCAATCCTAAACAATCCATAAAATAGTTAAAATTGAGTGAAAAAATATAATTTCACTGTAAACTTATTAAAAGCAAGCGAGATCATGATCGACGACGACGCCTCAAAAATCAAAATCATTCCTATTTTATTCCTTGTAAGTAAACATGCCCTTAAACTTGAGCACTAAGACTTGTTGGCCGATAAGAAATATGATTTCAACTAATTTTTAACTGTTTTTTTTTCTACCCTATATTGTGTTGATGTATCAAAAGGTTAATTAAAATGGGGAGAACTAATCGAAAGAAACCGACACAAAAATAAATAAGAAAGGTCAAAAAATAGGAAAATATGGCTCTACTTTCCTTTTATGTGTTCTTAGTTGAATTAAGATTTGATGCTATATAAACCTATAAACCCTAACTTTGTGTCACTTGTTCATGTAAACGAAGCCAAAACCCACCCTTAAACCCTAGAGTTTCTGAAACAGCTTTGAACTTTTCCATGAAGTGCATACAATTCATGCCTCAATTGAGGCGTGACGACCGCTATTTCTACCTTGCCATAGTCTGCAGTATCATCGGCATCGTCGTCTGCTTCTTCGCTATATTCGGCAGTGTCTACGCAGTACTCTGGAAGAGCTTCTATCCCCACGGCCCCCAAATCACCGTCACTAACGCCTCTCTAACCCGACTCGATTCCGCTGCCTACGCGGAAAACACTCTCGACTACAACCTTGCACTCAACTTCACCATCAGAAATCGCAACAAAGGGGTCCGCATAGACTACCGTAGCATCCAAGTCATTGGTGCTGACAAAAACTACAAGTCTGTTGCAGTGAGTATGGCTCCGTTTTACCAGGAGGGCAAGAGCACCACCGTTATGCATGCACTACTACAACTTCAAGGGAAGCCGAGGGAGATGGCTGGTGTTTACAGTATTGACGTAATGTTTTTTCTTCGGGTAAGGTATGATCGCGTCAAGTTATTCAGAAAAATCAAGGGCAGTCCGCAGATCCGTTGCAAGCTCCAGGTTCGGCTGAGTAGTTCTAATGGAACATCTGCGGGTGGTTTCAACCCTACCGAGTGCAAGAGTGTTCCTGGAAACCAAAGATACCGAATCCGTGCTGGATGAATGATTAATTGTTAATGATCAGTATAATGTGGCAACTAGCAAACAACTTTAATGTTTTTCTTAAAATTTCAATCGTTAGAGTGCCTGCCAAGAAACACAAAAGTGAACAGAACAACCTTAATTTCCATCGTGCGTTTACAATTCGGTGCAAATTACGTGCATCTGTTCATTTTCTTTCTCTTTCTAGTCTTTAACTATTCCTTTGTTACAATTAGTCGAGTTAATCGGTTAACTTTTCTAAACTGAACTATCGTGATTCTGGTAGAGAAAGTAAACATGATTCAACACAAACCACTGCACAACAATAAGGCAAAGGCAAGGGAATCAAAATCTCAAAAACAAACAATAACCATTGGCAGAATCAAGTCAATGTGGCCGTACACAACTGATTCGACACTTCAAAAACACTTTAGTTGAATGGAACAAGGTTTATAATAAGCTGAATCTGCCCAAACTTTTATTACTAAAAAGGGAAGCCCTACCTAAAGCATAATTGCATGCTCCAACTTTCGATTATGAAAACTTTAGAACGGTCAAAGAGAAGCATCTGTAATCTCATTCTTCAGATTGCCTTGTCCCCAGAACTGAAATATCTTCATATCGTTTCTGCATAAAAGAGAAATAACCAGTAGCACCGATCAAAATAAAGAAATTTTACAAGTACATTAAATATGTATGAAATGTCATAGACGAGTTACTATTGAAGAAAGAATCTCAACTGCATCAAAAACATGAGTTAGAACAATATAAATGTCTATATGGATGTGGAAAGTGAAAATCCATCCCCATTGTGACCCCCCCCCCCCCCACCCCCCCAAAAAAAAAAAAAAAAACAATCAAGCAAAACAAACGAGGGAATACATGTTGCTCTACAACCTGCACCAGCTAAACTCTCTCCAAAACATGTACATCCAGACCCAATGAAGAATCCAAACAAACATATGTGCACAACCAAATAAAGTATGCAGGACATCCGGCCACGGCAAAAGTTGTCTTTTGGGAAAAAGCAAAAAAACAGCATGTATTTACAGAAGGGAGAATAAGTAAAAGCTATTTAAATTTTCAAGTTTTACACACATCTGTCTCCACTATACAGTAAATAACACAAGGGATCATACACGTATCATTGTTCATCATGCCTGCATATTTCCGGCAAACTGGAAATACATAACAACATTCTAATATACATGGAGAAAGTGCATGCAAACCACCATGCATAAATAAAATTACAGAATAGTTCACATACCCCAACATTATTGTACTCCCACAGCTTATGAACTCCATAATCTACAGCCTGAAACCAGCAAATAAAACACATAAGAACACTATGACTTTCGAGGTGAATCATAAGAAACAAATTCAGCAAGGAATGAAAAAAACTCAAACAAAAATATGCATATACCCCAAAACTCAGAAGAAGAAAAAACACCTGAAACATACAGTTCCGAGAAACACAAATCAAGTAACGTCTCCATTTAGTAACTCCACGTCATTACGAGCATTGGATATATGAAAAGATATAAAACTAGAAACCAAGTGCCACGATTTTGAAATACAAAATGCCAAGATTTTGAACCTCGGTATTCCACTATATATATGACCCTCAACTTGATCAAGTTAGCAACTTTTCGTCATTACGAGCATTGCATATATGAACATATATGAAACCAATTAACAGAATTAGGTCTACTAAATTCATTGCTAAATCGCAATAAACAATACCAAAGTTCCCCATTTCTCACCAACACAACAGAAAAAATAGCCGCTCTCGTTCAATTACAAGACCTATTCAACAAAATACGATAAACCCAATTGAAATTTCTGCGCTTTCTACTAGACTAAATTGACCTAATCGCAAATCAAGCACCTTTAAACTTCCTTAGATTTTCCTAGCAACCAAACAGAAAACAACAGGGAACAAAAAGAAATCTAAAACGAGAGGCTCAGTGAGGGAAACCCTAATCTGAAAATTCGTGAGAGGCTCACCCGCTCGCCGAGGAAGGCTCCAGCGATGACGAAGGTGACGTAGACGGAGTTACGGCGCATGATGACCCTGTATAGACCTTCGAAGAGGCCTCCGCCGCTCCTACGAACCGCTGAATCCATGGCGATCTGCGCGAATCTGTTTCCGCCTGCTTCTGATCTGATCTGAGCTGCGAGGTGGAAGATTTTGTTCACAACTATCGCGTCGTGGAAATGGGAACGGGATTTGGGTTCTGTAATATGGCGTTTGGATTTGCGAACCGGGTTGTTTGGAACGGTCCGCTAGAGGATTGGAGTGGTTCGGCCTGAGTCGTTTGGACCGGGGTATTGTGGGCTTTGAAAGTGTTGGTCCATGTTCCACCAATAGTGGGCTTAAGAATTTCTTTTCTTTTGGGTTTTCTTTGGTTGGAACGCGTATATCAGTGCACTGCTTTTTAAATCACGGGTAATTAGTGAACCATTATTTTAGTTGAAACTGATCTCTTGAATAATTTTTAGTAAATTAACCTCTGAGTTATTTAAAATTAGCCAATTAACTTCTCAACGTCAAATTTGATGAAGTCGTCAAATACTAGCACGTGACCGCATATTATTCAATCCACTTTGCCTAAAACATGAGATAACAAGTCCATCTTTGTGACGCAAAAGGCATTTAGTATTTAGTGTTTTCCTTTTGTGAGTATATCTCTTCATATTCATTTGGGCGCATGTGTGATTTTTTGCCGATTTATGTAATTTTTTAGTATGTTTATGGGATTTGAATTAAGAAGAGAATTTAGTATGAATTGAAAACTCAATTAGGATTTTGGTATAAATAAAAAATTCAACGAGGAAATTGACTAAATTGGTGGTTGGAGGAGAGTAACGGTTGCTAATGCACGAAGGAGAAGGTGAGATTGAAGGGCTTCTTAGCAATCCCACATTGAAGAATAGAATTGCTAGCACCGTGTTAGCAACGTCTTGTTCAAGCAAGTCTGACTTAATCTCATTAATTATAGTATAGTAGTCGTAGCCAATCCCCATTTATATAGTACACGTTATTACCACTTGATTACCATGTAAGTATCATGAAAATTTAATTATTAAATCACATAATAATAATTTCGCTTGTAATTAAGTTAAAAAGAAGATTAAGGGGGGTGTATTCAATTGGGATTTTGAGGGATGTTAATGCACAAAGCCGGAGGTCTTGGTACAACGTAAATCCAACTGCGAATCTGCATATAATGTAAATAACACAAGATGTATCGTGGTTCACCCCAAGGTTTGGGCTACGTCCACACTGATTGTATTTATTTGAGAGTATTTGTGAGGGAGAGAATGTGAGAGCTTTGCTCTAGATATGAGAGACTTAGGGTTTGTGAGGGTGAGGAGACCCTTTTATAGAATAAAGGTTCATCCCCTAATTACATATTTGCCCATTCCTTTATTACATAATTACATTTAAGTACCCCTGAGTATTTATATGAGGTCTAAATACGAGGCCCTAAATATGGTATAAACAGTAGTCCTCAAAGTTTTCAGTCAAGAGAGTCTTTTGGCTGGAGACTTGAAATTCAGTCCATGTGTGGGCCGAAGTAACTAGATGCTGTTTTGAACTGATGTTTGATATGAGGCACTGCTCAATCTGAAATGATGCTCCACTAGAAGTAGCACACGCTGCGAGACTGCTCGGCTCGTGGCTTATGTTGCCTTGGTTGGCTCGGCTTGTGGCATTGAAGGCGAGGGAGTCCCTTTTATAGAATAAGGGCTCGCTCCTTAATACATAAATGATGGGTTAGAGTTGATGCTCGCGACGGGGCGATTGCTCAGTACGCAGCGATGCTCTTTAATGGTGACGAGGGAGTCCTTTTTATAGAATAAGGGCTCGCTCCTCAATACATAAGTGATGGGTTATGAGTGATGCTCGTGGCGATGCGGTTGCTCAGCTGGCGGCGTTGCTCTCTAATGAAGGTGAGGGAGTCTCTTTTATAAAATAAGGGCTCACTCCTTAGTACATGACTAATGGGTGCTCTCTAATGAAAGTGAGTGAGTCTCTTTTATAGGATAAGGGCTCGCTCCTTAATATATAAGTAATAGGCTAAGTCCCTCAAGTATTTTTCATGAGGCCCAGTTGAGGCCCAATATATGGTACATAATGTAGTCCCCCAAGTCTTCGGTCAATAGAGTCTGTTGGCTGGAGACTTCAAATTGAATCTATGTATAGGCCGAAGTGGCGGTTGTTCGGAGGCGGTATTATACCCTGCATTGAAGCTTTGTAGGTGAAGCTTTGCAAGTAAAGCTTTGAAGCTGAAGCTATGTAAATGAAGCTTTTGAAGCTAGAGCTTTTGTAAATGAAGTTTTTGAAGCTGATTGACATAAGTGATGCTCGTGAATGTTTATGTTGATTGACATGAGTGATGCTAATGGATGTTGACATGAGTGATACTCATGAATGTTGACATGAGTGATGCTCATGAATCTTTATGTATGATTGATATGAGTGATGTTTATGAATGTTTATGTATGATTAACATGAGTAGTGCTCATGTATGTTTATGTATGATTGACATGAGTAGTGCTCATGTATAATTTTGAAGTACTAGGCGTACTTTTAATCACCTGGTTGGTGGCATGAATGAGAGTACGGGTTGTACATTTCATCACCTGGTTGGTGGCATGAATGGCTAGTTGCCAAATAATATTACAGTACGGTTGTACATTTCATCACCTGGTTGGTGGCATGAATGGCTAGTTGCCAAATGATATTAGAGTACGGGTTGTGCATTTCATCACCTGGTTGGTGGTAATAGCGGCATGTTGTCGAATAATTTTAGAGCACTGGGCGTACTTTTGATCATCTGGTTGGTGGTAATAGCGGCAGGTTGCCGAATAATTTTGGAGCACTGGGCGTACTTTTGATCACCTGGTTGGTGGTAATAATGGCAGGTTGCCGAATAATTTTGGAGTACTGGGCGTACTTTTGGTCACTTGGTTAGTGCTATTTTGGGCTTATGGGCCTTCGCCCTCCACACAAC